CATAAATAAGTGGAACAGCAAATGGATGTTTTCTCTCCCTCTCTCTCTCTCTCAAAAAAAAAAAAAATCACTAAAAATTAAAAAAAATATATTAGGTGTGATGATGACATATAGTTAGGTCTTAAAATGTTTTCAATTAGAAATACAAATGAAAAAAATACAAACGAAAACTTTTTACAGGTGAAATGACACAACGTCTGAAATTTCCTTGAAAATGATCAGAAATAAAGGTAAGTGGTCAGATGAATGAGGTGGTAAGCTATTGCTAATTGCTGAAGCTCCATACTGTACATGGAGTTTGTTTTCTCTTCATTTGGGCGTATGCTTGAAATTTTACCCAATAATATGCTCTTTAAAATACACTGTTGCTGTAAGCACTCACCCCTTACAAGTCAGGCTAATGAGTTCAAGAAGTTGAGGTTACTTCTCAAGAATTCAAGATTCCCTTCCACTGACAGCTCCCCTATGAACGCCATTGGAAAGGCATTTGAACGTCAAAACTGTTTTCATATCTTAAAATCTTCCTTTTCTCCCTCAAAGCCGGAAAAAGCACTGGCGGTGTTTTTTTTCCTTCGGCCACATTACCCTCTTCTGTAATGGCTTAATGAGCCACACAGAGTAAATGGAACTCCATTTGCTGCTCCGGCTGCTCTGACACCATTAAAAGACCCTTAAAAGCATCACTCATCTATTAAGTGAAAGCAAATTCTTGTCATTAAATTAAGGGAAAACAACTCTTTCTACTCAGGAGTTCTTGGTGTTGTAAAGTACTCTATTTAGATAATGGAAAATATAATGAAAAAATGTTGAAGCAAAAATGGTTGTACTTTCGTTGTAGCATATTTCTAGAGTAAAAGGATTGCTCTCTTCGAGTATCTGCAACTTAATTTTGTTCTTGGTCCCCTAAAAGAAAATGGCTTCAGGTTAAGAATTAAGATTTCCCCAACCCAAAAGTACTGTAATTAAAATTAATCTGAGTGCATTTGTAAACGCTGAGGTCAATACTGTAAAAGATCTATCTGTCCAGTAATTCAATTCATGGAGGCTACTTAGCTTCATTACCTCTAAAGCTACATTTTGACTACTTCACTCACTCCTGGGTGAGTAAGCAGCCTCCACCACACAATTCTCTTGCCCATCATTCCTTCTTTTTAAACATTTTTATTTATTTATTTATTTATTTATTTAAAATATATTTTATTGATTTTTGTACAGAGAGGAAGGGAGAGAGAGAGTTAGAAACATCAATGAGAGAGTCATCGATCAGCTGCCTCTTGCACACCCCCCACTGGGGATATGACCGCAACCAAGGTACATGCCCTTGACCGGAATTGAACCCGGGGCCCTTCAGTCCCCAAGCCGACGCTTTATCCATTGAGCCAAACCAGTCCCGGCTAAACATTTTTATTTATTGATTCCAGAGAAATCGGTTTGTTGCATTCATTGACTCTTGCACGTGCCCTTGACATGGAATCGAACGCAAAATCTTGGCGTCTCCGGACGATGCTCTAACCAACTGAGCTACCAGATAAGGGCAACCCATCATTCCTTCTAATGTCTGTCTCCACCCAGAAGACATCACCCATTACCTGAGGCCCCTTTCAGCAATCCTATAAGCAATATTCCTAACAAGCCTCAGGCAATGGCCAGGTTACCCACTGCTTGTCTGGCTTTCCTACAAAATGTTAAGTGCCAATAAAAATCCACGTTTAAAGACAGAGTTTCTTCCTGAAACTGGTTTGGCTCAGTGGTAGAGCGTTGGTCTGCGGACTGAAGGGTCCCAGGTTCGATTCTGGTCAGGGGCATGTACATTGGTTGCGGGCACATCCCCGGTGGGGGGTGTGCGGGAGGCGGCTGGTCGATGTTTCTCTCTCATAGACGTTTCTAGCTCTCTCTCTCTCCTTTCCTCTCTGTAAAAAGTCAATAATATATATAATTTTTTTTTTTTTTTTAAAGTTTCTCAAAACTCATCTCGGAATACCTACATCAACATTAACTCATGTGTTGAAAAGATTCCTGGGCCTCCTCTTGAGTCTACTACATCAAACTCGCCACTGATGGAGCCTCAAATCCTGCATCCTTAGCAAGCGTGCCAGGTAATTCTTCTACACCCTCAAGTTTGACAACCAAGTTTTCAAGAATTGGGGGGGAGGGGGGAAATTTCCTCTCAAGTCTGTGATAATAGAGAAACAAATGAAACAGCATCAGAAGTAAGCAGTCAGCCAACAGACATATTCTTAAAAAAAAAAAAAATCAAAGGAATACCCACTGAGTAAATAAAATTCAGCATATCCAATCAATGAAATATTCTGCAGGCATGCAAAGGAATGACACCCCAGCCTTGCATAGTACTACTCTTGTTTTCTTCGGCATTGAAAATATCATGCTGTTTAAAAGCAGGCTGGCCAACGGTCAGGGCACATGCCCAGGTTGCAGGCCAGCAGATGAATAATTTTCATCATTGATGTTTCTCTCTCCCTTTCCCTTCCTCTCTGAAATCAATAAAAGTATATTATCTTACTTGAATCTGATTCACACTGTAAAATATATATTTTTTATAATGGGAGAAGCTGAGTATCCATTTAAAATTATTTTCTTAGCCATGCTGATATTGTTGCCAGGTATGATTGTCTTTTCTATTGACATGAAGACTGAGACATTTAGTAGTGAAATGTTGGTGTGTTTTTTTAAAAATAAATTTTATTGATTTTTTTACAGAGGAAGAGAGTAGGACAGAGTTAGAAACATTGATGAGAATCATTGATCAGCTGCCTCCTTGCACACTGCCCATTGGGGATGTGCCCACAACCAAGATACATGCCCTTGACTGGGATCAAACCTGGGACCTTTCAGTCCGCAGTCCGATGCTCTATCCACTGAGCCAAACCAGTTTTGGCTGTTGTTTTTTAATACTTAATGGCAGTTGGATGGAACACGTATTCAAAATAAATGTTTTTGGTTGATAGTAAATGAAAGACACACACACAGGGCCTTATTGAATTTTATCTTCATGCATACTTGGTAATTTCCCTAAGTCCTAAGAATAAAGAAGTTTAAGGTTTCTTGATTATCTTAATCCCAAAAATTTGTTGTAGCTGGTGTTATGGTAGATTAAAGGGCAAGTGTTATAGTGGACAGAGTAAAAAGGCCCTGAGCTCAATGTTCATCTTTCCCCCCTCAATCATTGGAGCATACCATCTGTGTGCAGTCAGGTTCAGCATTACAGTCAAGTGTGGCCAGTCTGCTTCATAACCAGAATCGTTTTCTCCCCGATGTCACATGTCCATACTGATAAGCCTCTTGCCACATAATTAGGACTTAAGGAAAAATCAAGTTTTAGCATGCTAAATCACCTTGGCTAAGAAGTATTCTGCATGGACATGTGGAAGTTTAAAATGAAGATCCAAAGGAAATTTCAAAATGACTTTTCTTTTGGGTGTCTCATTTCCATTTCTGATTTTTGTATTGACTTGGGCAGCTCAGCAAAACTTGACCTTCTAAAATAGGGTATAAGCAATGAATAAACAATAAATTACAAATATAATGCTGGATTTTATAAACATGGAAAAATCAAAATGAAATTTAGAAAAACGGGCATTATGAAATAAAGCACGGACTCCAAAGTGAACATTATATGCCTTTTATTAGAGATTTCAAGAACAGAGTTTGGCATTAAGCTGGGCACCAGAAAGGACTTCTAGCACACATGTTGCAGTCACATTTCTTCCCTTGTGACAACTTTCCCATCACCAACAGTACTTTCCTGTTCTGTTTAGCACCACTGTCTGTTATATCCCTTCTTATATTATGCCACATTCATTTTTAAAAATGCTGACATATGCCCCATTTGAGCCAAATTTCGGAGCTTATGTAGATTCAATGTAAATGCTGTGAAGAGCCACTTCTCAATAGCTGCACAGTGGTACACACACCCTTCCCCAGCTGGTCTAATCTGTTTCAATGTGTTACACTGAATCTCAAGAAAATGAATTTCCAGGTCATGTAGCAATAAAGTTGCATATAAGGTTTCCTGTTCAGGGCTCCACATTGGTGGTGGGCTCGAGCACTACCTAACCTTTGGACCTGCACCAAGATCTGGTTATCAGAATTTGCCCACCAGTGGTCGGCCTCAGGGGGCTGACTGCAGGCTGCCCAGAGAGGTGGACCAAGGCAATGTTAGTCAGAACTGCAGGCCACTCATGTCTACGTTCCTACCTAACATTCTCACCCCTCTTAAGTTATGGGAACCCAATTCTTTGGGGCCTTCTGGGTGAAGACTGCTCTGGCTGTTTCAAGCTGATTGAGGTCATTGTGGGGCTTTGGGTCCCCGTACCTGCTGTTCCCTCAGGGATGTGGGTGTGGATGGCAGAGGGAAAGGGAAGCCCTGCTCATCCATTTAGGTGAAGGAAAGGGGCAGTTATCCCAGGCTATGGAATGATCATGTTGACAGAGGGATGACGTAGCCTAGAGAGCAGATGCCTCTTCATCCCGCAGACAAAGCGACAGGCACAGGACCCCCAAATCCAGGAAATGCCCTTGAATTGATGTCAGGGTAGGAATTCCTTCCCCAGAGGCATAGCTTCCCCTTCCTCTGGGAGTCCCGAGGCTGCTAATGTGGCTACAGCTAGGGAGTCAATTAGAGGGGTTCTAGAGATTTTTAAATGAATTGTTCCAATAGGGCTCCCCTTTGGGAATTCAAAAGTAGGGTGTTTTGAGAATCACAGATAAGTGACCCAACTGCCCTTGGGTTACACCCTTAAGGGGATTCCCTTAGCAATACCAGGATTTGGGGAGGCTCTCCTTGGACTAGCTCAGCAGTAAGTGCCCCCCAGTTCCAAAGAGATACTGGTTTTATAGATCCTCAGCAGGTGGTATTGAATTGTAAAGTAAAGGCAGTAAGGTTGGGTAATTGATAAGCCGCTATTGGAATTAGGAGATAATACAAGAGACTGCTGAGCCTTATCTGGAATATTAGAAGCATTCTGGGTTGTTTTGTTTTGGCAAAAAAGGTGTAAGCCAGGTCCAGAGGAGGTGGGTCCTCAGGCTGAACCTAGGGTTTGACCCTAGTATGGTGGGTCTAATGGCATTCCCTGGAACTTTATCATGTAAGAAAACTGGGCGAGGTCCTTCCATACAGATTAGTGTTCCTTCCAATCCCTAAGACTTGTGTCCCTGGTGGATATAGGGGTGGCCCAGAGTCCTATAAGGACTGGTGGGAGATTTAATGTTGCTCTATCTTCACATAGTTGTGAGAATTAAATGAAAAGATGAAAACCACGAGGTGCCCGCTGCACTGCTCTTTCACCACCAGCTACTGCGTGTGGACACGTGGCTGCTACAACTTATTTAACCATGTCTGACCTCGCTATGCGTACTTAGCCTGAAAGTCGGTTTGGAGTCTGTTAAAATACACCAGCATCACAGCATTCCAGCACCAACGGCTTGTACCTGTAGTTTTTAACCTATAAAAAAAAAGTTATTGAATGACTCAACAGTTATTTTGAGATATGTCTCAAATGTTCAAAAAAAGCCTTGTGTACATGAGGTTCTACCATCTGGATTTCTTCCGCCTTCAAAGACAACCAAAGTACCCAAATTCCCATATCTATTCGAAAACACTAAATGGTACCCCCAGAGTTTTAAAAGCAGGCCTGAGAGTATCCCGGCCGCTAAGATGAAATGGATCACTCTGCTCATGGCTGTGTAAAAATAACAAAAGGCGCTCAAACCGAAAGGGAATTTCCTGGTTTCAGCTGTGACTCCAGACAGGATCCAGAGAGGAGTTTTGCCACCTCTTCTCTGGGTTTTATGGAGACTTGCTTCATGTACCCTTCTGTGTTAGCCTCTTAAGGCACTCAGTCAACCTTAAAAGGGCACTGGAAAGGGCGACGTGAAGTTTCCCTACAGGGTTCCCTATGGCTTCCTGCAGGCCTCTCCCCAGTACCCCGAGATCGCGGCGGCTTCTTGAACAATCCGACTCCATCAGATGCAGCTGTTCTGCCCCGCGGAGCCGCGAAGGTAAATGCCCTTCAGGCCAGGCGGGGAGATTCTGGCCTTTGCGCCAAACCGGCGCCCGGCACCCTCTGGTCGCCATTAGCCACGTGCTCCGGGCCTGGGTCATTGCATTTCAAAAAAGGGACATACCTGCGCTTAGTACTCAGGCCGGGCATCCGCAGGCGCTGGAGACAATCTCCCGGGGCCCACGGTCGCTCAGGGACCCGCTCTCGCCCCCGCAGACAAGGTGGGCCGGGACCCCCGCCCGCTACAATGTAGCGGCGGCTGCGCCTGGGGAAGCAAAGCGCAGACCTGTCACCGCGCCGGCCCGCCCGCTGGGACCCTCCAGGCGCCTCCGTGCGGTGTTTGTGCCTCGCGCGGCGCCGGGCCGGGCACGGCCGCCCGCCCCCCGGGCCGCCAAGGGCTGCTCTACCCCTCGGTTCTGGCCGCCGGGAGCAGAGGGGCTCCGGGCGGGCAAAGCTTGAGGGGATCCGGGACGAGACCCCGGCCGAACCCACCCCACCTCACCCTACCCCCCTCCACCCCACCCGGCCCCGGGGTGCCGCCCTGCCGCCCGCACCGGGAGCAGAGGGCACTCACCGCACTCACCGCCGGCTGCACGGGACTGGGAGGCCGGCGCACGGCGCGCACCGCGGAGGCCGGCTCTGCAGCGCGGGGCGGGGCGGGGCGGGGCGTGGGCGGCGCCGGGCAGCCAATCCCCATCCTCGG